AACAGATGAGGGAAAGAACAGATTAGAAGTGATATATGATTGAGTATTATGGTTAGCACAGGAATCCAGAATTAAGGTTGCATAAAGAAGTGTACTCGGGGTCGGGTGGGGGGAAGGGACATGGGAATTGTATACTAATGAAGGAATTTTTTTTTCTTTTTAAAACAAAACAAAACAAAAAACAGAAACTCACTGCTCTCAATTGGTTTGCCACCCACAGTGATTTTCCGTTGGGTTTTCAAGGCTATAAATTGTACTGGGAGGAAACTGCCCATCTTTCTTTCACAGAACTAGTGGTGAATTAGAACTGCCACAGATGAACCATCTTTGGTTAGCTGCTCTCCCTCAGAGCTACTGGCAGCTCTGAACCACTTGCCTTTGGGTTGGCTGTGCAACTCTTTATCCACTAGGCCACTCTTATGTCCATGAATTTACATAAAAGTTATTCATTTCTAGAAAGGCCTAACTCTAGGAGAGCTTGGTTCCATCTGGGCCTAACAAGGAGGCCGAACTCCTATGGGAGCCATGATGAAGTGACAAATAGTCCCAATTCTAGCATTGAAAGGCCCACATCAAGAGAAGCTCCTTAGTTAAGGGCAAAGATAGTTGATATCCAGAACTTCTGGCCAGGGGAACTACAGACTGTACCATCAGAACTTCTTTTAGGTCATTATTGTTGTGTGCCATCAAGTCACAGCTGACCCTCCAGTGGGTTTTCAGAGTAAATCTCACTGGTAGAGATTGCCTATCATCGCCCACAGAGCAATTGGTAGTTTTGAACTATGTGCCTTTGGGATTGCAGCCCAACTTCTTACTATTTAAAAGCACAGTGAATACCCTAGCCACTAGACTAGAGAATATGTTCAGGCCACCAACACCAATTACTAGATGCTCTCCTAGACTACTGGTGAGGGTGTATGATGATGCCACCACTTTGCAGACCAATTTGGTGCATAGCCACGCAACACGGCATTACTTTACAGTGACTTCCTGCTTGTCTTCATACCCCAGGTATTATGTGCCCCCTTGTGCTCATCTGGTGCCTGTGAGCCCCTTCAAGATTTAGACCAACTTGTCTGGAACCTCTACAAATACACACAAATGCACACTTTCTTCAAATCCTTGGCCACCTTCTCCTGCCCCTTTCCCTTTCCTCAACACATTACCTTGTTGCTCCCTGCATTAGTATGGGCGTCAGGATCCTATAAATTGAGTAATTCTTCTATGTCTTGGAGGTCCCAATGAACAGATGGCACCATGAATGTTTGTCTTCCATCATCTTGGAAGCCCCCTACATTGCCCTTCTCCCTACTAGTTCCACTTCCCTAAACAAACATCTGGGGTTTCCACTTCCACCCCAGGCAAATTGATCTGAACCAGCCCTCATCAAAGGCAGAATGCATTCTAGGAGTCCTTGTGTTGGCTTCTAGGAAAACACCACTTTCTCCATATAAATAATTACTGTCCCTCAAATTGGTGTAACCTTTTTTTAAGGAAAATTGAAGTGTTTCCACATAGTTTTTGCGGTGTGTGTGTGTGTGTGTGTGTGTGTGTGTGTACCATCAAATCAGATCTGACAGGTACAGGAGGAGATTGCCCCTCCTCCAGCAGAGCATCTTGTGGATTTGAACTGCATACATTCTGGGATTTCCACAGAGTTTTTAAGCATGCAGGTCACTTAGCTTTCCTCCAATGTGTCAACAAATCAGATGAAGGTAGATGGGGTCATTCCCATTTCTGAGCAAGGAGATTGTCACACAACAGTTTTAAGCAGCTTGCTCAAAATCAACCTCTAATTCCATGATTATTTTTTAAATCTCAGTGTTGCTCTGGAAAACAATAGTAAAACTCGGTCTTGTTTCCCAAGCTGGACAGCACAACAGAATTACCTAGGATGTGAAATATGATTCCTGCGAGGCCACCCTGAGGTTCTGTTTTCTTACATTTTGTGGGAGGAGGAAGGCTTGTGTGTGAGGTGTATATGTGTATGTGTGTGTACAACATTCCAGGCAATCCAGAAGAAGCTGTCTATTCATCATAAACTCATTCCAACGTTAATTGAGTGACTATGTGAATCCACGGAGTTAGGAGCAGCATAGTGGATAAAGAGTTACACTGCCAACTGGTTTAGAGGTACCAGTCACTGTGAGGGAGAATGAAGGGTAATCTCCTCCCATGTGATTTACAGCTTCTGGAAACTCACCTCCTGGTGCTCCTGCCTCCTGGTGCTTCTGGATGTATGTTTTCTGGTTCATCTAAATCTTACCTTTGCCTCAGAAAACAGACCTCCCTTGCAACACCTTTCCAAAGGCACAGAAGGACCTGCATGAAGTGTCCCCTGTGGAGACCTCCCTTGCAACACCTTTCCAAAGGCACAGAAGGACCTGCATGAAGTGTCCCCTGTGGCTTTCTTGAGAATGCTTATATTCACATTTGAAATACACTCTCCTTTTGTTACCATAAGGAGACCTGATGGACCCCTAACCATAAAGTTAATGGTTTGAATCCAGCAAGGGGAAAAAAGACAGGCAAAGTCTCCTGTGAAGGACCCAATGGAGGGTCATTATGAGTTAGCATCGACTCCATGGCAGCTGGTTTGGTGGTTAAGTTTTATTATTATTATTATCCTTGTTACTACTCCAGAGTACTATTTTTTAGCTATAGTTTGAGCATATCTTCCCACCTCATTGTCTTATGGCTTAAGAAGGTTAGAATTCTAGTTTGGATATGCCAGAATATATATATTTCAGAACAAAATACTCTTTTACTTTAGGAAGAAAATTATTAGAATAACTATCTACATCCTAAGAATACTTCTTGGTGCAAGGGCCTTGTCCTTTTCATATATTCATCTCTCCCTTCTTACACAGTTGCCTGGAATTGGGGATTTTTTATCTGTTATGAACTATATTGTGTCCCCAAAAATGTCATGCTGAAGCCCTCACCCCTGAGCCTGGGAAGTGACTCGGTTTTGAAATATAACTTTTTCTCTTTTTATGTTAAGGAGACCACACCAGTGTAAGATGGGTGCTAAACCCAATTCTTTCTTAATGGTGTCTTATGAAAAGACAGAATTGGCCCAGACACACAGGGAATACAAATGCCATGTGACCATATATCTACAGGCAATCAAGGAACTTAGCTACACAAGCTGAGACAGACAAAAATTTTTCTCTAGAGTCCATAGAAGAGAGCCTAGCCCTGCTGACACCTTTAATTCAGACTCCTAGAGTCCAAAACTTTAAAACAACATATCTGTTCTTACAGTCACCTAGTTGTGGTATTTTGTTACAGCAGCAGTAGCAAACTGAGACAAACTAAGAATGAAAGACTACATGTAGCTTTCAGCTCAGCATGTTTGCAGGACAAATTCTTCAGCCCCTCCTCTCCCCTCCCCTTCTCTTCCCCTCCCTCTCTCAGTCTTTGAGGTTGAGAACTTTGGCCAAACAGTTTTGATCTGGAATTTCAACAGACAGGGGATAACAGACTGAGATTTCATCATGGTCTCCCATTGCCACGGACTCACCTTTCTCTGCTTTCTGCTCGGATTTCAGCAATCGCTTTCTGCAGGTATGTCTTGGCAGGGATTTTCTCCCCACAGAAACTTGTAGAGGAAAGCAGGCAAGTTGTTCGCAGCCAAGGTGAAGAGTGCTTTGTGGGCCTTCTGAAACCTCAGCTTTGTTTTTTACATTCCTATTCATCAAACTTGTTGCTGGAGGTTCTGTTTTGATCTAATTGTTCCTTTCCAAAAGGCACTTCCGGTGCATTGGAGGAAAAGTTGGTTTTGATGGAATAGGTATGGGCGGAATTCTTTTTCAAAGCACTTTTGGGAGCTGGTGGTACTTGATGAATCTGTGGGAACATGCCTCTGGGACATGGGATCAAAGGTGCAGAATTTGGGACGAGTTCAGAGAGTGTAGCATGGTGGCTGCGTTTTACTGTTTGATTCCAGGTTCTCAGTAGGGCTTAGGGGCATCTTCATGGGGACTGATTTCTGTATTTGCTCAGATACCACTGTCTCCATTTCTTCATACCTTGGTTCCTCTGTTTAGCAATTTTACTTCCTCTGCTTGCTCACAGTGTCAGGCCTGAATGAGGTGACACTAGGCTGCTGTATAGGCTGCCAAGTCCACGCACATAGAGCTACTGTCTTTTTACCATGATTGTCAAAGACCTAGCAGTAGCTATGGTCACTTACACTTATTAACAAGTTACAAATGCTTTCCTTCAAAATCTGGTCCCTGCCATGCCTGCCCCTACTCTGTGGTTACTACCATGTGTACAAAGAGAGGGTTTCTTGCTCTTGAGGAAGTTCGTGTAACAGCTGCCTTTTCCTTCCCAGTTACTAGTTGCCACTGGGTCAAGTGCTACTCATGTCAACCAGGAAGCTGTTGATAGGACCAACATGCAACAACTCATTCCCATCAGTTCAGAACATACTCATAGCCAGTCCTGCAGTGTGTGTCCAGAGGCTATAAATAGTGTGGGAGGAAAGAGCCCCTTCCCCGACAAGAGCAGCTGGTGGATTCCAACCCCTCTCCTTTGGGTTGACAGCGCAGGTCCCCATCACTAAGTCACCATAGCTCCCTATGAATGTTCTTGTGTCCAGTCAAGTCACAACCGACCCATAACTGACCCTCCAGTGGGCTTTCAGAGGCAGTCAATCTCACAGGAGGAGAATGTCCATCCTTCTCCCACGGAGATGCTGGTGGATTCGAACCAAGGGCCTTTGGGATTACAGCACAGCTTCTTACCACTAGGCCACCAGAGCTCCCCTCTCCCTCTTAATTGTGGATAATTTTAATTTTCTTCTATGTTCCCTATTCTCCAAAATAATCACGTATTACTTTTCACATTCAGATCTATGTGGATGCTTTTTTTGATATGAAACAATTTTCATATGGGAATGCATTATTCACATAACGGTATTTTCAGGAATATAATTGCCAGACACATTTCCATCTAATTTAAGACCAATTCTTCAAGGACAGCATGTGACACAACATTTTTCACACTGTTTTAGTGCTCTGGGCAAGTGTATACTCAGGAAGGGACTGTCAAAGGATGAAACAAGAGAATGAGAGAATGGTTGAGTGACATTTGCCAGCAGATCATGAGGGAAATGCGTCCGGGACAGGCATGTTTTGATCATCCTGAATCTTGGAAAAGAGCTGGGAGTCAGGACACTGAGCAGGTAGATCATGTCTAAGTAGCTGCAGGTGGCATGTGGGTCTCTACCTCCCCCACACCCCGGTCTCCTCTGGCTTTGAAGTATCTGTACTTACTAACTCTGTAAAGGAGTTGGGCAGAGATCTCTGGAGTTGAAGGAGAGGGCTAGCTGCAAATAGAGGTGTCCAGATACTGAATCGAGAGGAGAGAGTTGAAGGCAGAAGTGTGGGTGTGCTTGCTGGGAGTGTAAAGAGAATGGTGGACATCAGCTACTTGTGGGCCTAAAACAAAGAAGGTGGTGAAAAAAATAATCCAGGAAGAAGGAGGAGAAAAGGAGGAAACCTCTAAGAGAAGAGAGTTTCAAAAAAGAGGCAACAGTCAGTGGAGTCTCTTGATAGAAAGACCTATCCAGGCAGATGAGGACTGAAAAGACCGACAGTACTGGAGAGGCGGAAAATCACCAGTAACCTTCACTTGCAAAGGGCAGAAGAAACAGTGTGAACAACACAGGAACAGTTGCTGGAAGAAGAGACATGAAATGCAACCTAGAATTCCTCTGTCCAGAGAAAAAGACACAGATTGATGTCAAAGTAGAGCCAGTGTATTGGTTGATAAATTGTAGGAAGAGAACAGATTGGGTTAAAGCAGCCAGAGTTCCAGAAATGGTATGGAGAATGCAACCCCAGGTGAATTGAAGAGACGTATGCAATAAAGAGAAGAAACTTCCAACTGCTGCCTTCCTACGTGCAGAAAATTTTCATTCTTTTCTGTGTTAACTGAAATTGTTAGCATTCTCTCCACCTTCTTTCTTGCCTGAACCACATCTTACAATGTCTTTCTTAAATGGACACTCTCCTTCTTAAATTAACTCATCTTTCTTAATTCTACAAGCAAAGAACCTAGCAGACTATGCTACTGCTGCTGCTGTCTGTAGAGCACCAGCTGACATTCTGGTGAGCAGAGAGAGAGGAAATCAGTCCTAAGTGAAGTATAAGCCCCCAGTGTCTTTGTAGACACACCTTGGAGATGTTGCAGGTTAAGTTCCTAATCACTACCACAAAGTGAATATCACAAGAAAGCAAGTCACAGAAGTTTGGGGGATTCTTGGTGCATATAAAAGTTATGTTCACACTACACCGTTGTCTGTTAATAGAGCCCTAGTGGTGTCATGCATAATGCAGGCTGCTGAGAGGTCAGCTGTTCGAATCCACCATCTATTCCTTAAAAGAAAGATGAGCAGTCTCCTCTTACTGTGATTTACAGCCTTGGAATACTGATAGAAGGTTGCTATGAGCTCAAACTGACTCCACGGCAGGGCATCAGGTAGGTAGACTATTGAAGGCACCCTCGTGGCATGTTGGGCTGCTAATGCAGAGGTTGGCACCTTGCGTCCAGTCCACTCCTATAAAGATTTGCAGACTCCAGAAGTCCAAAGTCTCTGGAGGGTTGCCATGAGTGAGAAGTAACTCAACTGCAGTAGATTTGTTGGACAGGCTACTCAGTTTGCCGTAGCATTATAGACATTTGCAACATGCAAGAATCGCCACAATGTGACACAGACATGGAGTGAGCACATGTTGTGGGATAAGTGGTACCAACAGATTTGGTCAATACAGGCTGCCACAAACTACAGTTTGCATAAAAGCTACTGTCTGTGAAGGGCAACCAAGCAAAGCATAATAAAAGGAGCTATGCCTGTAACAGAAAACAAAGGACAGGACGAGTAGGTACAGCGCTAAAGAGCAGATGCAGCTTCTTCATGGCTCCCTCTACAAAATAAGCTCACGCCTCTTGGCAAGACACCAGTTCTCCAGGCTTGGCTTCTACCATCAATCACTCTGTCCCTCCACTGTCCCTGCCTGCCTTCTTGGCTCCTGTAGTTCAGCCTTCCTGAACAGATTTTTGTTCTTAGGCTTTGCAGGTTCTATCTTCTGTATCTTTGCAAGATGTCCCCTCTCTGTATAATAATAATAATTTCTAAAAAGTCCTTTTCCCTTTTTTTCAGCCTGGTGTCTGCTAATCCTTCAAGACCAAGTTCAATTGCCCTTTGTACTATTCCCTCTCCCTGCTTCATGAGACAGAGAGCCCTTCCTCTCTCCCTGTGGTCCACAGTGGGATAAGCTCACCCTACCCAGGCCCTCATCACCAGAAAGAAAAAAAAAAATACATTTCCAACTAGTCAATTCTGACTCATAAGGATTCCATGTACAACAGAGCCGAGCTGCTCCATAGTATTAACTTGGCTGTAATCTTACTAGAAGCAAATGACAAGCTCATGGATGGCTTCAGTCAACTTTGTGTTCGCACTAGAATGTAACACTGTTGAAACTTAACTGTCCAGTTGCTCTGCCACCATCCCTAACACAATCATGTTTCAATCCATCTCATCAAAAGTCATCTTTTTCTTTTATCAAACATAATGTCTTTCTTGAGGTAGTTGTTCTTTTTTAAAATATGCTCAAAGCATGTCAAATGAAGTCTCCCCATTCTTGCCTCTGAGAAACAAGCTGGCTGTACTTCTCCTGAGACAGATTTGTTTGTTCCTTTGACAGTCTTGATGTATTCAGTATTCTTTGCCAATGCCACAACTCAAACGCATGAAATCATCTTCATACTTCCTTATCCATCATCCAACTTTCACGTACAGATATAGCAATTGAAAACGCCATGTCTGGTCAGGCAAATCTTAATCCTCCAAGTCACACCCTTGCTCTTCAGCACTTTAAAGGAGAATTTGACAGTAGATTTGCCCAGAGCAATATGCCTTAACTGCTGCTTCCACGGGTGTTGGTTGTGGATCTAAGTAATATTAAATCCTTGACAGTTCCAATCTTTTCTCTTTACTAATGTTTATTAATCCAGTTCTGAGAATTTTTATTTTCTTTATACTGAGGTGCAATCCACCAAAAAATAAGTCTTTGAGTTTAACCAGCAAGCGTGTCAAGGCTTCATTTTCAGCAAGCAAGCTATGTTATTGTCATATGGCAGGTTATTAATGAGTCTTCCTCCAGTCCTGATATTGCACTTCTCTTCATATAGTCTAGCTTCTTGCATTATTTGCTTGCGTACAGATGAAGTACAGTGAAAAGACACAACCCTGGTACGTGCACACACACGTAAAAATAATCTTTCAATAAATTACATTTATACATATGTTCACATACACTTTTGCTTTACAAAAAAAAAAGGAATTATAAAGTACATTTTGTTTTACCTCTTTTTGCTTCATGTTTTCTTCTTACATATTTTATTTAGTGGTGACCTTGGATACTATTATTTGCTGTTTCTAATTAAGAGTATAAATGGCTCTCCTCATGCCAATGCTTTTGGTGCAAGTTTCTTATTGTTTTCAGAGGTTAAATTCCTAGGAGTAGAACTGCAATTGTCAAAAGATAAGACTAGCTTAAATGGTAACTTGATAAGTATATTGCTGTATGTTGTTAACTGTCATGAAGTCAACCCTGATTGGGGCAATTCCAGGCCCTCCTCACCATCACAATGGAACCGTTTTGATCTGTAAGGTTGTCATTGGCTACTTTTCAGATCATCAGAAAGGGCGGGGGGGGGGGGAATTATACTATGTTATATCTCATTGGCCATATCCAAAAAATCAGCCCTGAATTTAGGATTCAGCCAGGCCTCTAGGATGGGTCCTTTGCTTCCAGGCCTGAATTGTCAGACACAGAGAAGGCTGCTTGAGGGAACCAGCACCCAAAACGTTCTGAGTTACGTTAGGCAGGGGGAAGAGCATGCCATCGCTCAAGAAGGAACAATCCTTGAGGGGCCCTATTGCTTGGTATGAAAATCATGTGAATGATTCCCATGACATCCTTGTGTGGCAGGTAGCATTTCATGGCACTTTCATTTCTCAGTCTTCATAAAACAGGAGGAGGCCAACAGCATTTTGCACAGGCAAAAGCGAACCAACCATTTCTGGGAAGAGTTGAAGGTGGGGTCCCTGGAGCGAGAGTGCATGGAGGAAAAGTGCTCATTTGAGGAAGCCAGGGAGATCTTCAGTACCCCTGAGAGGACCGTAAGTACTTCATCAGAAGCATTGACTTCTGCTTTGCCTTGAAAGCTATCAGTGGCTCTGAGATGGACCAAAGGGAGCTTCACTAGAGAAGACACTCTGAGGATGGTGCTACCTCTTGGAAGGAGCCCTACTGCACTTATCAGGCTGCTAACTGAAAGGTTGGCTATTGAAAGCAACTAGCTGTTCCATGGGAGGAAGATGGGCAGACTTTTCCTGCAAAGATCCACATCCCCAGGCATCTGGTGGAGGGTCTCTGTAGGCTGGAATTGACTTGGGAGTGTGAGTTGGTTTCTAGCTCTTGGAGTCCCTGTGTCTCCACGGCTGTGGCTGCGATTGCTCCTTGGTGAGATGAATGCACAGTCCCCGTGCACGGTTCCTCACTGCCTGGGCTGCTTCTCCTTCTAGAAAATGACCTCAGGGTCATTGGTCAGAGCTTCTGCTGTGATCCTTAACTTCTGCTCTGTTCAGGGACACTTCTGCCACACACACACACACACACACACACACACACACACACACACACTCCCCTACTCTCTGCCACATCATGAATCCCAATTTTTGTACCAAAAAACAAAATTCAAAAAGCACACCTGATGTGTACCAGAGCTTCCTAAAGCAGCGGCCCACAAAGAACCCCGGGATTCCAGGGCTGCGTGTGCGACACAGAGTTGCTGCTGACAGAAACTGTGATGAGAAACAGCCCTTGGGAGAGCTTCTCTCTGCCTTACTTACCTGACAGCCACATCATTAGGGAAAACATTTTTGATGAAACAGCAGTTAAGGAAACCACTACCTCCACTGGCATTTTGGGAAGGTGTTTCCAGTTGTCTTCATTTTTTACATCACTTTCTAGACTGTGCTTACTGAAATTGTATCAGATTCCTCTGAACCTTTTTACAGTAGTGCGGTCTCTGGGTTCAGGGTGGGTGTGCATGTTCTCTGGTTAGGAGCTGCTGCAGGAACCCTGGCACAATCCTCGCTAACTTGTTTTCTGCCCACCAACCAATTTCTGCAGCTCTGCAACTGCATCCCTGCCCATCCTCACCCTTCTGACCCCAACCCTCACCTCCTTGTACCCCCAATATGTTTTTTCCCAATTAAAAAAAGGGGGGAAACCAAAAAACTTGTTTTCTGGTGATTCTCGAGTCCTTTCTCACCAGCTGTGATTACCTGACACTTCACGTTCACCAAGAAGGGTACTATTTGAAACTGCGGTAATCTTTTCATTCCAGATAAGCTGACGGTAGTCACACAGTTCATTTGCATATCACTTGATATTTCCAAAACATTTTCAACCTTTATCATTGGGTTTTACTCCCACAGAAATAAGTTTCTCTTAAAATTTAAAAACTAGATTGCCAGGCACTTTTCCTGAGATGCCTCTGTCTGGGGTCAGACCACCATTTCAATTAGTATCCCAACACTTAGTCATTGGCCCCTCCAGCCACCTGTAACCCAAATTCTGTCTCTCCAATCTGACCTGGAGCAGAAATGGAAGGTAGGAAGTGGAGTGGGATGAAATCATGACTTACTATTGCTTTTCTCCAGCCCATCAATTCCTCTCTCCAGAACGATGTCTCTCTCTCTCCTTTATTGCCTAGCACTAAGTGCTTCCCCTAAGGCTCACTTGAGGGCTTAGCCTAGAGCAAAACTCACAGAAACTAAGTTCAGTTGGTCAAAAGGCCTCTCTGGAATCAGTATTATTTATGGGACCTTTTGATAACACAGTGAGTTATATGCTATGCCACTAACGTCAAGGGCAGTGGTTTGAATCCACTAGCTGGTCCATGGAAGAAAGATGGTCAATTTCTGTCTATCAAGTTTTACACCTTCAAAACTCTAAGTCCTTAATCCTACTCAGCAGCACTGTGGAAGAAAGGCCTGGCAATATGCTTCCATAAAGATTGTCGCCAAGAAAACCTTATGGTCAGTGCTACTCTAACACACAGGGTCACCATGAGTTGGAATTTACTTTGAAGGTTTGGCTTGTTGGTTTTATGGAAACTCTGGTGGCTGGGTGGTAGGAAGTTGCACTGCCAATGTCAAGGCATGAGGCTTGGATCCACGCACTGCTCAGTGGGAGAAAAATGGGCAATGTGTTCCCATGTGATTTACAGTCTCGGGAAATGCGCGGAGTTCTACTCTAACACACAAGGTCATCATGAGTTGGAATTAATGCTGAAGGTGTGGGGTTTTTGGTTGGTTGGGTTTATGTTTTATAAAATGCTTCTATATCCATTACTCAACAGTGTCTTGAAAAAGGATATCATGCTTGGAAAGGTGGAGGGTAAGTGAAAGACACAATGATCCTCATCAAGATGGGTTGACACAGTGGTTGTAACAATATGCTGGAGCATTCAGAGTTCAGGAGGATGGTGCAGGACAGGGCCAAGTTCAGATGTGTTGTTCGTAGGATCACTATGAGTCATAGTTGACTTGATGGTGTCTAACAACAACATATCCATTCCTGCAGGTACTCCTCGTGGAAGACCTCCGTGTGTGTGTGTGTGTGTGTGTGTGTGTGTGTGTGTGTGTGTGATCACACCTACTCATCAGGGGAGGACATGAGGACCTGAGAGCATCTTTGGCTTATCTAAACTTCTAAGTGAGTCTATGCCAGAGTTAGGGCTAACACCGAGGTGTTCTGATGAGGGATAGAGACCCAGGGCCTCTGGCAACCTTGAAAGAAGCTAAGGAGTTGTTGTTATCTTTGATTCAGAATCTACTCATAGCTGATCTTCCAGTGGGTTTTCAAAGGCAGCGGATTGCACAAGAGGAGATTGCTAATCTTTCTCTCATGGAGCAATTGATAGATTTGAACTTTTGTGCCTTCAGGTTGGCAAAACTCCTTGTTGTTTGTTGCTGTTCGGTGCTGTCGAGTCAACTATGACTCATGGCAACCCTATGAACCAAAGATCTGAACCCTTTTCTATCCTGCACCATCCTCACACTTCCTGACACACAAGAGCCGATTGCAGCAGTCACCATGTCAGTCCGCCTGGTTGAGGGTCATCCTCTCTACGCTGACCCTCTACCATTCCCAGCATTATGTCCCTCTCCAAGGAACAGCCCCTCTTAGCAACACGCCCAAAGTATATGCGGCAAAGCCTAATCATCCTTGCCCCCAAAGAGCACTCCGGCCACACCCTCTCCAAGACATATCTTTCTGTTCTCTTGGCCATCCGTGAGATGTTCAGTTCTTTTCTCCAACACCACAGCTCAAAGACATCAATTCCTTTGTGCAGAACTCCTTACCACTTGGGGGGAAAAACCTGTTTCCTTCCCCTAGACAAGCCCACCTCCCATCTGTACAGGAATATTCTATAATTTCCTGAATCCAGTACAAAAGATCTAAGTCTCCACTCCACCCTGCCATGACCATGACTTCATTTCCTTCATGCAATGAAAGTTTGCTTCTGGTGTTTTCATGCTTTCTCTCTTGTTTCCTCAGAAGCAGTTCTGGATTACTTACACCGGTGAGTAGGCAAATGGCCATCTTTATCCCCCCATCTCCCCTCTCTTCCCCCATCTTCTTTTCTCCGTGGCATGCTAACAAATGCTAACTCTTTCCACAGATGGAAACCAATGCGATTCAAATCCATGCCAGAATGGAGGCACCTGTATGGACCAGTTGCAGTCTTACATTTGCTTCTGCCTTGAAGAGTTTGAGGGTCGCAATTGTGAAATAGGTGAGGCCTTACTTCCCATCCTATAGTTTGCAGTGAGAGGATGTGTATCAGAGTGGAATTGCCTCCATGGGATTTTCAGTGCTGATTTTTCAGAAGCAAAACACCAGACCTTTCTTCTAAGGATAGGCACAAATCTCCAACCCTTTGTACCAACCAAGGACTCTGCTTCCAGAACAGGTAGGACTAATATCCTGATTAGACAGAAAGTTGAATGACTTGGTCAGGTCCACATAGCTGTTAAGTGGTGGAGCTGAGGTTTGAACTCAGGCCTGTCAGATCCCTTATCTCTGGAGCTTCATCTGTCAGGTCTTCTCATTGCACCTATTTGAGTTTCAGGGATATTTACTTGTGTTTCCCCAACCAAGGAGGTGAGGTGTGTAGACATTTGCAGGGGCGGCTTAAAAAGTGTGCTAGAAACTGTCCCTCTGGTTTTAGAGCTTGGAGCAGCCAATTGGCTGCGGGTGGTGGTCAGGAGTGCTGGGCAGAGATGCACTGGCTGCAGATGTCTGGGGTGGAGACCCAGGACCCCCTACAGGGATTATCATTTTTGTTTTTATTTTTAGGAAGCTGGTGGGAGACCATCTGGTCGACCAAGCTCTAAGATAAATACTGGTCCAGTATGGGGATCCATCTACCCTGAGCTTCAAGCTCTGGTACAATATTGATTGAAGAGAGCTTCTAATCTGAGTATCCCAAAACTAGAATTCGAAAATTATTATTACCAATCTTTATAATCTCATATCACTTCTGATCAATAGAAAAAGTATCTTGTGTCTCCAGCCCTGTAAACTTCCAATACACCTAGAAAGGACATAAGTGAGATCTACACTACACCACTTCCGTACCCATCAGCCAAGACAGTTTTGGAAAGTTTTACCTTCTCCATTTGGTAGCAAATAAAGGATCAATGAAAAAGAGGAAGACTTTCAATGAGATGGATTGACACAGTGACTGTAATAGTAGGTTCAAACATAGCAGTAATTAGGAGGATAGTGCAGGACTATGTAATGTTTCATCTAGTTGTGCATAAGGTCATTATGAGTCAGATTTCCCTCAGTAGCACTTAACAATAAGCTGGTACTATAAAGGTGTTTTTTAAAAAAAAAATCTTCAAATATTAAAGTATTGCAGGTTTTGAGAATTCCCAATACTCCCCTCACGTCTGATACCAACTGCAAGTTTGAGGATCTCTATGACCATCCCAGGTTGACAGTCATCCTAGGATAGGTTGACACTTTGCTAGGAAGATTCATAGTATTCACTGAAAACTGTTACACATAGAGTTACAGTTTATTACCACAATCTCTATCCTTCAACGGATAGAGATTAAAGCCAGCCACAGGGAAGGGTACAGAAAGCTTATAAGCACAAGCTTCTGGTTGCCCTTTCCCAGGGGAGTTTTGGATGACAGCACTAACTTCTCCAACATTAAAGTGTGATAATAAACATGGTTCCTTGTCTATCAGGGAAGCCCCTTCGGCCTTGGTGTAGTTTTTGTTGGAGCTCAGGCACGTATATTACTGACCACCTGGGATTGATCTTTCATCTCTAGCTCCTCTGGACGTCAACACTAGGCCCCAAGACTGCGCCCCAAATCACATTATTAGCAAAGACTAAGAAGCAGTGGTGGCATCATAGACAAGGAGTTGCACTGTTACCTCAAGGTTGTGCCTCTCTATTGGTTGGACTGCGTCACCAGCTCTGCAGAAGTGAGATGGGCAATCTCCTTCCTTGTGATTTACAGCCTTAGAAAACCCACTGGAGGGTCAGCTATGAGTCGGTTCCAACATGATTGCAATGAGTTTTTGAGTTGAGCATAGACCATTCAAATCCCCACTGTAAACTAATACTCTTCTCAGGGCTCACTCTCCAGAAGCTAAGACCTCATTCTGGGCGAGGTTAATTCTCTACCACACAAGTGGATATTCTGATATTGAATGCGCTTTTCTGGGCCACACCCCCTTTCTGGTCTAAGGTAAACACTTCAATGAGGTTCCGATGTCATGTTGAAAGAGAGATTGGAGAGGCAGCATGGCTCTTACTCTCCTTGCTCTTTAGCTGCTGTCACAGACAAAGCCCAGGAATCAAGGGCATGGCAACTGTTCCCTAGGCTTCCAAGCTTGAAAATCTTAACGAGAAGAGACTCTCCGTCTTTCTCCTGAAGGTGGACTCAAACTACCAGAGATGCTCGGTCTTTTGGGTTGCAGTGCAACTAGTTACGGCCTACCTCACCCAAGGTCCTTGACAAGAATTCTGCCACAGGACCAACAGGGCCTTTCAAGTGTCCATGAAACATATTGAGACACAAAAACACATAGATAAACAAAATTCAAGTATGCCTACAGATGCATACAAAATGTTAGCGTTCTTCAGGGTCCACAGTCTCCCTGAGGCCCCTTTAAGGACTTGTCTTGCTCTAACCACTGGCAGACACACTCCTCTTGCCAAGTCCCCATGCTGTTGTCTACTACTTATAGTTCTTCCTAATGGTAGAAACTAACATTTTCAGGAACTTACCAATCACAATGATATGAACCCCTCAAAATTTCTCTTTGACCACCCAATTAGATTATACAGTCAAGACTTCAAGACCTAGGTGAGAAGCATGTCTAATTGATTTTATAGAACAGTGTTTTTCAGTGTTGTTGTTGTTGTTATGTGCTATCAAGTTGCTTGCGACTCATAGCGACCCTATGTACAACAGCCCTAAACTCTGCTTTGTCCTGTGCCAATCACAGTGTCTCTGATACACCCATCCTGATTACCCAAGTCACTGAATCAATCCACCTCATAGAGGGCCTTCCCCTCCTGCACTGTTCCTCCACCCTACCAAGCATGATGTCCTTCTCCAAGGACCGGTCCCTCCTTACAACATGTCCAAAGTATATTAGACGAAGCCCCAGAATTCTTGCCTCCAGGGAGCCACCTGGTTTAACCCTTTCCAGGATGAATCTGTGTGTTTTCCCAGCAGTCCATGGTACCCTCAATACTCTTCTCCAGCACCACAACTCAAAGGCATCAATTCTTCTTCTATCCTCCTTAGTCACTGTCCAACTCTCTGAGCCATAACAAGTGATAGCAAAGACCATGGCCTGTATCAGATGCACCTTAGTCTCCAGAGAGAAACCATTGTTCTTCAGTACTTTGGAGAGGTCCCTAACAGCAGACTTTCCCATGGCAATACATCTTTTAATTTCCTGGCTACTGGTGCCAAGAGTGTTGACTGTGGAGCCAAGCAAACTAAAGCTGTGAACAATCTCAATCTCTTCACCATCCATCCTGAGGCTGCCAATTGGTCCAGTGGTGAGAATCTTGGTCTTCTTGACATTGAGCCTCAATCCATATTGGAGGCTGCAGTCCTTGACCCTCTGCAGCAAGCGCTTCAGGTCCTCCTCAGTTTCAGCAAGCAGGGTTGTGTCATCTGCATAACACAAATTGTTGATGAATCTTCCACCAATCCTGACACCACACTTCTCCTCATAGAGCCTGGCCCACAGATAATCTGTTCTGCATACAGGTTGAAAAGGTATGAAGATAGGGCACATCCCTGGCATATACCCTTCCTAATTTTGAATCATGCAGTGTTTCCTTTCTCTGTTCTGACGACTGCCTCTTGGTCCTAGTATAGGTTTCACATTAGCAAGATCAAGTGTTCTGGGAGTCCCATTCTTCTCAGAGTATGATCAGCACAGTCAAACGCCTTTACATAATCAATGAAACACAGATAGACATTCCTCTGGTATTCCCTGCTTTCAGTTAAAGATCCATCTAACATTAGCTACCATATCTCTAGTACCACGACCCTGGCAGTTCTCTGCTGATGTGCTGTTCCAGTCGTCTTTGGATAATCTTTAGTAGAATCTCGCTTGCATGTGAAATCACGATATTGTTCTAAAGTTTCCACACTCTGTTGGGTCACCTTTCTTTGGAATGGGAACCAATATAGACCTCTTCCAGTCAGTTGGCCAAGTGGTTGTTCTCCAGATTTCTTGGCACAACTTGTGACCACATCCATGGCAGCATCTGTTAGCTGAAATATGTCAATTGGTACACCATCTATTCCTGGGGCCTTATTTTTTGCTATTTCCTTCAAAGCAGTCTGAACTTCTTCCTTCATCACCATAGGCTCTTGCCCGTATGTTGTTTCATGAAATTCTTCTGTGTCTGCCAATTCCTTTCAATACAGTGACTCAATATATTCTTTCCATCTTCTTTTAATACTTCCTGGATATTTAGATTATTACTATAACTTTTTAAATTATACGTGAAATGAATTCTAAAACAGACAAGAACTCCAACTGGTCATAATTAACATTTTAGAATGTCAGCTTCCATCCTTTTTTTAAAGTATGAGGGACAATTAAAGTGTATTCAAGTTGACTACTTTCACTTGCCTGTATCCATTCGTGTATGGACATTTTCTGTGCCCCCACCCCCCAGCATGACTGATAAAACTTAGCCATAGCATTGGCCTTCACAGTGAAGTCCAGCCTTGACATAAAATATCTTGTGGGATAGCTTAGCCTCTGACCTGGTATTCCTAGTGACAAGAATTAGCTTCAAAGAAGGGTTGGTCCATAGTAGGACAGTTTGGAATCCAGCAAGTATAGCTAGCACAGAAGATAGGATGCCCCTAGTACCACTGTCATAGTCCAGAAGTAGTTAAAAAACTAAGGAAACCAGTATCATGTCAGTTTATCTAAGGTTCCTGCTTAATGCAAAGGCATGAAGTATAAACTCAAGCTAATGGTCAGCAGTTCAAACTCACCCAGGGGCATTGTGGATGAAAGGTTTGATGGTCTATTTTCAGCAGTGGAGACACCCTGGGGGCAGTTCTACTCTGTGCCACAGGGGGCCTCCGTGAGTCAGAATTGACTCAACGGTAACATTTGGTTCGGTTTGATCTAGTTAAGGCTGGAAAGGGTCACATGGGAGAAAGATGAGCCATCTCTCCGATGCAATTTGCAACTTCTGTAGATGCACTGGAGGTCTGCTATGAGTCAGTTTGAGTTTTCTGAGTTTAAGAAAGCATCAGTCTTTTTTTCCTCAACCTTTGATATTAAACAGGAGCCTCTGAGTGCTGTAAATGGTTAACTTGCTTGGTGGCTAATAGAAAGATGGGGTGCTTGTCCTCCCTCAGAAGCACTTCAGAAGGTCTAATGGTCTACTTCTGTGGGGGCGGGGGGGAATCAGCCATTGAAAACTTTATGGAGTACATTTCTACTTGGATACACGCGGGATGGCCATGAATCAGAATGAACTCAATAGTAATTGGTTTTACTGGTTTGCTGCTGAGTGACCATGACCGTAAATCTCCAACACGTGCTTTCACTACTGGGAATCCTGAATTAACACCCTGAACAAACTCCAGTTTCCACAACCATAATTTTCTCCTTCAAAGATGAACTTTCGTCATCTTCTGACAGAGCCAGTGGCCACTGCTGGGCCTAAGTGTTCCTGGGTCAGCTCCCTGGGATAGAGAGGTCTGGTTGTGGGACAATCTCATCTTCATGAGCAGATCTTGGACTAAACTGGACTGTTCTGGGGAGAGTTACTTTTTCCAAAGGGTGTTCCTCAGCTTTCCGTCAGCTTCTTAAATCGTGGTAGTCCTGGATGCTTGGATGATACAAGTCCCTTCATTCTGAAAATGCTGCCCCCGTCAGCCCTGCTCTCCGACTGGCAAAGTTGCCTAGATAATGTGACTTTGCTTACTGTCAGATCTTACCATGCTGGCCAGACCTCAAAGTTCAGCTTGTGCCACACTGCCTCCATTGGCCACAACTTCCTGTCACCTTCCTAGAAGCAGCAAGATGCTTTTGCACCACCGCCCTTTGCCCAGTTCCCCAGGGCTGACCTTCCTTGAACCCTCTCAAGTTCTCCCTTCTTGTTCTCAGACAAAAACAGCCAGCTGATCTGCCTGAATGAAAACGGGGGCTGTGAACAATACTGCAGCGATAATATAGGGACCAAGCGCTCCTGCCGATGTCACAAGGGCTACACGCTGAGGACCGACGGAGTGTCCTGTATGCCCACAGGTAAACAAGTCCTTGGCTCTCCAGGGCACAATTTTGTCATATTAGTTATTTACTCTTTTACGTTTACCAGATGAACCGGTAATCAGCTCCTGCCCTAGTATGCTGTGTCTCACATGGCTGAAAAGAGGAGACATTGACATAATTTTTATTACAAGTCTACTGATAATATAATGAGATAGGGAAAAGATAGCTGTCCTACCCAAAAGCAACCACAGTGATCAGTAGTTGACACATATAGGTTAAAAAAAACCGGGACAAAAGGTCAAACCACCCCCTTCACACTGGAATCACACTGGAAGGCACTCCCTGGAGGTTTTCCAACCATCTACCCCTTCCAGGGCAGGCTCAAAGGAGCAAAATGGGACTCTGTCTACCTCACACCCACTCATGGGATTTCAGTGACTCATTATCTCTACTCTTGAATCTCATGCTTCTGCACAATTTAAAAAGGCCACACTCTTTAAAAGGAAAGGCATTTTGCTTTAAAAAAAGAACGCTTTCTTCAAACTAAATCTCAAATTAACTGAGCTGCAAAAGATAGGGCAAGGTTCAGATTCATTGTTCACAGGGTTGCTAGGAGTCATATTCAATTTGACAGAACTAAGGACAACAAACAGATAAGAAGTCCTGCTGCCTACCCAAAGATGGGGGGTCAAATCCACCTGATGTTCCTCAGGAGAAAGATGGACAATCTCCTCCCATGCACTTTACAGCCTCTGAAACCCATTAGAAGGTCAGCTACCAGTGAATTCCTACTTGGTGGCACATAACAATTTCACAAAGGCAGAAGTACCTCATGCCACTGTGTCTTTCAGAGATGCATGTACCCAGCCTGGTAGGCAAAGCCTGAAATTTACCTGCCACCTCTAAAGTTATTTTCATGGTCCTGGCCTAAGCCTTTTATTGGCATTAAGTTGGAGGAAGGGGTGGAGTAAAACATAATGCACTATGTATGTTAGGGGAAATGACTCAGACATAGTATCATGAAATCTTACTTATTTGAAATATCCAAGAGGGACAAATGAACAAAGACAAAAATTTATTAATGGTTACCAAAGTCTAGACAGGAAGAAGAGAAGGAATGAGAACTTATTGCTCAAGAAGTACTGGGGTGCTGTCGAGGGTCATAAAAAATCTTGGAGATAATATGATAATGGCACAAGATAGATTTCCTGAATATCACTAAACTGTATACTTAAAATTGGTGAAGATGACCAATGCCATATCATGCACATGTACACGTCCATACATGTCACTGCTCTTGTCACATGACACTGAGTCAGAACCAATCTATAACTGACCCTCCAGTGGGTTTGCAGAGGCCATAAATCACACACGAGAAAAGTGCCCATCTTTCTTCAGTGGAGCAGCTGACAGATTCAAACCACGTGCCTTCACGTTGGCCACATGTCCTGACCACTAGGTCATCAGAGCTCCCTTACATATATGTTTATACGCACACACAGGCATATATACGCATACGTATATGTACACGATGCATATATATTTCTATTTCTAAAAAATATTTTGGAAAATTACTCAGCATAGTTAAAAAGAAAGAGTTTTACCAGTATTTTCAGTTAATAGTTGGTCTTTACATAGAAGACTTATTTGCCCTTTGGTACATTTTCCAACCTTGAAAAGATTAACAGAAACTAATTCTAAGAAGATCTCTGAACTAGGGGGGAGGGGTGGGCATGGAGAAAAGTGCAACAGTAAATGAATGGAAATCCAAAATCTCTGTAAATGTTCATTAAAATTAATAAAATAATTTTTTTTAAAAATAACAAATCTGGTGGCACAGGGATTAAGCACTTGTCTACAGACCATAAGGACAGTGATTTGAACTTACCAGCCTATATCGGGGCAAAAGTAGCATTCTGCTCCCATGATGATTCTCACTGTGATAGAGGGGATCCCAACCCACAGCACCCCTCTAGGACAGAGTGGACCTGCTATATAAGGTTTAAAAGGCCAGGATGTTTACAAAAACAGACTGCTAGATCTTCCTCATATTGCTCTATTATGGGGTTTGAACCATTGGTCTTCCAGTTAGCAGGCAAGTGCTTGAATCACTACACAGACATTGCTCATTTTGTAATTATTACAGTCTATGAACCCCACAGAGTAGTTCACTGGCCTCCAGGGTCCCTGTGAGTGTAAATCAACTTGGGCAACAGATAATTGTTTCAAGAAGCAGGGCTATTCCCTGTAAAGAGCCTCTGCCCATCTCTTCATCCAGAGTCTTCTCAAAGGCCTCACTCCAAGCTCCAACTGTGCCAGAATTCCCCTGCTCAGCACATCTCCCTGGGGCTCAGGTAGATGAGACCCGAGCTCCTTCAGCCTGAAGATCTACCCTGGAAGGAGTCACTTGATGCTAAAAGAGGCAACAGACACGGCCTCAAGATCAGAGCACAAGTGCACTTAACCCTTCCTCATAAGCACATTTATCTTTTATAAACTCCTATGCCTTTCTGACTTTTGTTTTCTACAGTTGAGTATCCATGTGGAAAAATACCTGTTCTAGAAAAAAGAAATAACAGCACTCCCCAAGGCCGAATTGTGGGTGGCAAGTTGTGTCCCAAAGGGCAGTGTCCATGGCAGGTGAGTTTTCCCTGGCCCAGTGAGAAGTCATGTCTGCCATCTCTGGTTTTTTCCTGGCCTTAGGACTCCCAGGTCCTGGGGTGGCTGAAGACTTTTGGAGAAGAGCTTATCAACAGCCCTCAAAGAGAAAATTAGCAAGCCAGCTGCAGGACAAACCAGGGCACGACCCAGTCCTTCTACATACAAAGTGCTTAAGGGACCCATCTATTTTCAATTTTAATCCTATAAGGTCTCTATATGGACAATGGTTTTTATTTTTCATTTTACAACTCAGTCATAGCTCACCTTTCATGGGATTTCTGGGACTGGGCCCATCTTTTCCCCACAGAGCTGCTGGTAGATTCAAAGTGACAGAGAGATGCATTCTAGCTTTATAGCACCACTCCCTACAGACTGTGCCCCAAAGCTCCTTGAATTTTACAAAGGTGTGCTAAAGATGGCTTACCTTGTACCTGGTAATTTCTAGCTACCATATTTCAGAGGAAGAAACTGAGGCCACATGACTGCTAAATGGCACCACCAGAATTGGAATTCAGGACTTTCTGACTCCAAAGTTCATGACCTTCTTCTCATTGAGCTAAGTGCTCGAGAGCTGAGATTTCTGGTTCTATAACAGAGTGCCAGTGGTAAAGGAAGTAACTGCCTCCTCCTTCCAGGCAGCCAAAGCTTTCCTCCCTAGTTGGGTTGGGTCTGTGGAGTGGTAGCTCCTTGGAGTCAGCTCCCCCAGGAGTACCTCTGAGTAGATTGGTCCACAAGGACAAGTAGCCTATGAAGTGCAAAGTGCTTGCTGCTCAGAGCAGAGCTCATGGGACAGTAGCAGCAGCATCCCTGGAAGCACCTACTAAACATGCTGAATCAGAAACTGCATGTAACAAGAGCCCCGGTGGTTCGTCTGCACAGTGAAATTCGAGAAGTATTAGTCTGGACTCTAAACCCTGGTGCTATGGTGGGTAAAAGTAAAAAAAAAGGTGGTAGTTCAAATACATGAGCTGATCCCTGGGAGAAAGACTAGGCAGTCCCTTTCTCTAAAGCTGTATGACCTTGGAAACCACACGTGCAGTAATGCTTTATCCTGTAGAGTTGCTGTGACTCCGAATCCATTCAATGGCAGTGAGTTTGGGGGAGATTGTAGTGACCCAATGATAGGAGACTCAGGTTCAGTTTCTGACCACTGTGCCTCAGGCAGGTTAATGGTGGTTGATGGATTTCAGACGGCCTCTGCTGGTTTAATCTGAAGAGAGTTACACTGCTACCCCAAATACCTTGCCTCTCTGGCCGTTCTCATCCACTCACAGCTCTGAGAATGATAAGCAATCCCCACTTGCACAGTTTACAGCCAAATAGAGCATGAAGTATGAGTTGGTTCCACCTCAACAGCAAAAGTTTTGAGTTTCCAAACTAAGAGTGATCAGAAAGAAAGGCCAGGCAATCTACTTCCAAAATCCAAAGTCCGTGAACTTACAGAGCTTTTGTTTCTTCATTTGCAAAAGAGATCTGATAGTTTAACTTACCTCACTGGGGGCTGTTGTGAGGATTCAACAATGTTGAACAGGGGTGAACTGTCGGCATAGGGTCTGGTAGACGTGGCAAGCTCTAACTAAGTGGGCTTGTTGTGACTCATTTGTCCATGTGGGTCACACTGTAACTTGTACACATGCTAGTCTGTGCATTGTCTGTAACACAAAGGCTTTATTGATAAAGATTCTGGTAAATATTTGAGTCCTATTTGAATGAAATTACATTTCAGGTTCTGCAAAGCTGTGCCCTGAATAAGCTGTGCCCATTCTATCAAATTCTAAGGTAGCTGTTGTGGACCATTGGGTTAGAAATGACTTATAGTTAGTTGACCTTCCAGTAGGTTTTCAGAGGCAACAAATTGCACAGGAGGAGATTGTCCGTCTTTCTCCTTTGGAGTAGCTGGTGGATTTGAACCATGTTCCTTTGTGTTGGCAGTTCAACTCATTACCCACTAAGCTACCAGATCTCTGCTGAGTAATGGGGTTGGGGGGGAAAGTCCATTACTGTCAATTGGATTCCTATTTGTGGTGACCCCATGTGTTATGGTGTAGAATAACTCCATCGCAGAGAGGGGCGGGGTTGGTTGTTGTTTGAAGTATACTCTTTATGGAAGTGAATCTTCTTCTGAGGGACCACAAAAAACAAAAGCTTACTGCCATTGAGTTTATTCCAATTAATGACAACCTTCTACATTTTCCAAAGCTACTACAGATTTTAACAAAAGGAGACTACCTTTCTCCCTGAGAGAAGCTGTTGAGTTTGAACTTCTCATCCTTTTCTTGGCAGTATTAATGTTTAGATTAACAGCTGAGCACAGATTGTACCACCCAGGGGCTGTGGTGGGTCCATGTTGCATAGAGGAGAGCTCACTCCCCCAGCCTCCACCCTCCACGGCTGCTTGAGGGTGGAAGTCTTAGTGGAGGCAGTTGTGGACACAAGTGGCTGCTTGGGCAGCAAGACCAATGCTGCACCCATCCAGCCAGGAAATCATTTGGAAATGTTAAAAAGCCGAAATGCTTGCCATATGACTTTTCTGAGGAGACATGAGAGAGAGGAAGCTACTTTGTGGCTATATTCTACCTCAGGTACCTCCATTGCAAGGACCAGCACATGATACTCAACTATCCCTCACAAAGCTATGAGATACGATTATATGATTCTGGGGGGTCCACCTTGGTGGTCCTAACAACTATCATGCTCAGTTGCTAAACAAAATATTGCCAGCTCAGGTCCACCAAAAGGAACGTTCGAAAAAAGATCCGTTGATGTACGTCTGGAAAAAAAAATTAGCCATTAAAAACCCAATAGTCCTACTCTGACACATACGGGGTTGTCGTGAGTCAGAATTAATGGATGGCAAACACGCTTCAGGCCTATTTTCAGTACAGCTCCTACACCTGTACTTTCAATCCCTCAAGAGTGAGGTAGAGAGAAGGGAAAAGGTGCTTGAGCAAAGCGAAACCAAGGTTCACAACTTGGACCAGAAAAAGATTTCCAAATATACCAGGATTTTAGAAATGACTAAAATAAATGTCAATCAGTCCCTAAGGGAAGGTGAGAAATCAAGACGAGTCATCCCCCAACCTTTAACTATCTTCTTTGCCCTTGCTCAGGCTGTGCTGCTGGTGAATGAAGAACTGCTGTGTGGAGGGACGCTGCTTGACGACATCTGGGTGGTCAGCGCTGCCCACTGTTTTGACAAACTGAACCCAAGAAAACTGAAGACTGTAACAGTGGTATTAGGTGGGTATCGTCCTTATCTCTCTCTAACCCAAAAACAGTTCTTGAGTGATAATGACACCGTGGTTAAGAGTAAGGGCAGTGAATTTTTCATTTCCATGGCTGAATTTACTTCTCAAAAAAAAGAAATGGTCACCTTTTGAGCAAAACCTCTCTGCTCACAGGCTTCCCACCACTGTGACCACTGTTCCCTCAGCCTCTGTTCCACTCCCAAACAAACTTCTAAAAGAACACAGAGAAAGGAACTCAGCTTCAACCCACCCTGTGTCATTTGTGAGGATGCAACCCACCCACAGGAACCTATCCATGGGGCAAGTCTTTGCTTGAGGGGTTTATGGCAAGGAGAAACTCCAAAGAAAGATGAGGACAACTAGGGTGAGAAGAACTCTGGGGGATTTTGAGTAATCCTCTCTCCTCCTGCTCTCCACAGCTACCCAAAGGCCTACTGCCCTTTCTTTGTCTTTATAATCTCATGTTTCATATGGCCACCTCAATTCAGACTCCCCACACAGCCCCAATTTAGAGTCTAATCTCTGAGGCAGGCAGCTAACCTCGGGGAAGAGATCCTACTTAACCTTTCCTTAAGATGGGTGCAGGATTCATCTCCCTACTCCAAAAGGAGGCCTCCAACACTTTCTAGATTCTGAATATTGACCATTTATTTCCCCATTGCACAGCAGCCAAAATCCCAAAGGGAAAATGAGTGGCCAAAGCCACAACAGCAAGGCAAGAGCTTCACTGGCAAAGACCTGTCAAAAGTCAGCACACATCCAAGTGGTACTGGTTTCTTTTTCAGGCGAGCACGACCTGGATGTAAAGGATGGGCATGAACAAGAGCGGAAAATTGCTCAAGTCATGATCCCTGACAAGTACATCAAAGGCAAGACCGACCATGACATTGCCCTGCTTCGCCTGACCACACCAGTGAACTTCACCGACTACGTGGTGCCTATCTGTTTGCCTGACAAAACCTTCTCTGAGCAGACATTGGCCTACATCCGGTTCTCCACAGTGAGTGGCTGGGGTCAGCTTCTTCACAGGGGCTCCACATCCCTGGAGCTCATGGTCATAGACGTGCCCAGGCTGATGACCCAGGACTGCAACGAGCAAACAGTAAAGTCATCCAACACCCCAGTTTTGACTGAGAACATGTTCTGTGCCGGCTATCTGGATGGAACCAAAGATGCTTGCAAGGGTGACAGTGGAGGCCCACACACTACCAAGTACCAGAATACATGGTACCTGACAGGAATTGTCAGCTGGGGCGAGGGTTGTGCATCCGTAGGCAACATTGGTGTGTACACCAGGGTCTCCCAGTACATTGAATGGCTGATCAGGCTCATGAACTCAGATTTGACCCCAGGTAACATCATACGATTCCCTCTTCTCTAGTATCCCAACTTCATCTCTCTGGACCTGCTTGTGAATGGAAATACATTTGCTGCTAATTGGAGCTGTCCTTGTAACAAATCTTCAAAAATTCCTCAGCCCTTGGGGTGGGGAGGAGGGAGAGGAGAAAGAAGTGGAGAGGTTGATAGAGGCCGGGAAAAGCAACGAGGAAATTAAGAGAAGGCAAAGTCGAGAAAATGAGAGGTAGACTTGAGAGAGAGATTCCAAGGAGATTGTGAGGAGAGTCAGAGGGAAATAGAAAGATAGAAATGAACTATCAGACCCTGGAACTGAGAGAGACAGGGTTACCACACGTCATGAGGTCTGCGTTCTGGGAGTGGCCCCTTTCCTCACCCTGCATGTTTCCTGTCCAGCTGACTCACAGCTGCATGTTCTCTGCTGATGATCCGCTGTTGTTCCATTTTGTTTTTGAACAACAGTACACATGCTTCTACATTTGCATACTCACACACTGAAGGGTGTTGTCTATTGTAGGATGCCTTAATTTTTTTTTTTATGAATAAGAATTTTATCTCCATTTCAGGAGAATGAGAAACAAATTCCATTCATTTTGGTGCATATCCTTCTGGATTTCTCTCTGTACATATATTGTTAATATGAAATGATGGTTTATATTCTACCTGCTGCTTGCTATCTTTTGCCTCCATTGAATAAATAAATGAATTTCCTTCATATATTTCTCTGGCTGCCAGATATTTCTTCAGAGTATCTATAATTCACTCCATTAATGTTGATCATCCAATGTTTTATGAGGTTTTCTTTCACATTTTCAACATCATGAAAATAAACTTCCTCCCAAATTCTTTTATTAGTTATTTCCAAAAGGGACAAAGGGTTTAACTGCAGGGAAACCAGCAAGGATACCCTATAAAATTCAGGTACTAGGGTTTTCTGTCCGGGTAAGAGAATTAGAGCCGGGTAGGGCCTAGGAACCTACATTTCCATCAGGTTCCCAAGGTGAGTCTTAGCCACACTAAACTATGTGTGCATTAGCTGTCATTGCATCAGTCTCCATCTCCTAATAATCTACACAGAACAGAACAGAGCAGAGCAGTGCCCAACCCTGTGCCATTCCTGGGATGAGTACAGGTCACACACTTTCCATTCATAGCCTTTCATTCATTGACTCAAGAAGTAGGTAGTCAGGCCTTTCTTCCTAGGTCCCATTAATCTGGAAATTACCCTGACATGTGTTCAGTATCATAACAACACATAAGCCTCCACTGATAACAAGGAGAAGGATCGTGGCTGCACTTGGAGTTCCCCGGGCCTGAAATGAAGCGCCAGTCTCCCACACAGGAGGTAAGAATGCTGCCGCGGACCCACCAAACACTCATTCTCACATGGTACTGTGGAGTCAGAGCTGACTCAAAGCTGACCCGCCTCTGGAGGTCTGTGAGCCTGGAAATCACTCAGAGAAGAATGCCCATCTTTCTCTTGTCAAGCCACTGATGGATTTGAACTGCTGGAGAGGTACAGGCTTTGGACTGGCAGCTTAACTCCCTTCAGACTACACCACCCACCAATACTGCACAAAGTCATAATACAGCTTCAGTGAGGAAAAAAATGAGAAATAAATAGCATTTTGACATTACATACTCATTCCACTTAAACTAGAAAGAACATAGAATTAGATAATAAACATATTGAGTGCCACAACTCCTACAATATGAGTCTGTCACTGTAAGGTGGTCCCTACTCTGTGTGTATGGGTCATATTAGTATAGGTTTCCCCTCCAAGGAATATTGTTGAAACTGTCCCTGGGGCTGGAATACAAAATAGCTTATTAACTGTCAGTAAAGGGCCCAGTTGCTTTTCTGGTGAAAAACCAAGTAATATTTGACCAGGAGCCTGCAAACCACAGCCCAAGGGCTAAATCTAAACCACACTGGGTTTGGGTAAGTATTTGTTGGAGCACAGCCACTCATTTCTTTGAAACAGCAGTTAAATTAATTGAAATGGGACCGTCTGGCCCACAAAGACAGCCTAAAATATTTACTATCTGGACCTTTCCAGAAAAAGTTTACCATCTCCCAGTCAAATGATTTTAATTATTTCAGTAAGCAACAGAGCAAGTCAAGAGAGTAGACTCTGGAGCTAGAACACATGGATTCAAAATCTGATTCTGCTGTTTGTTCTTGGACAAGTTGTTTAGCCTCTCTGTGCCTCCATTTTTTCCTCTGTAAGATGGGAACACACTCTGATAATTGCTGTAAAGCTGACAGTAGTTAATGCATGTGAAGCCGTAAGATTAGCTAATGCATGGGAAACATTCTGGTACATGAAAAGATGCATGTCATTGTGTAAAGTAAAGCCAACCTAAAAGCATACAGATATCTCCAGCTCAACCAGTCTATTTAAAGGGGAAAGTTGATAATGAAAACATGCCAAGATCTCATCAGGCACTAACGTCAGCTCATTTCTCACAACTGCTTTGTCTTACTGGAAACAGGAGTTGGCAAGATACTTCTTTCTGGGAAGGAGGGAAGAATGGGCTTGAAGATGACAGGCCCTGAGCTAAATAGACCAGCACACACACACACACACACACACACACACACACACACACACACACACACAAAACCAAAAAAAAATTCCCAAAGCAAACCCACACTCACGGCCGTTGATTTCCTTCTGCCTCATGCCACTTGGTTTCTGATGCTAGATATCTTTACTACAGGAAATTGCCCATCTTTCTCCCTGGGAGTGGCTAGTGGATTCAAACTTCTAACCTTTTGGTTAGCAGCCCAACATGTAATATACTGTGCCACCAGGGCTCCTTAAAGAAGAAAGATAAGAGAGTGAAATAAATGTAAAGAAAAAGACAGCAAAAGTCCTACGCAGAAAACGGACTCTGCCTCAGCTTTCCCAACTGTAAAATGGGATCATGACGGCACCTACCTCGTCCTGCCGTAAGGATTGCTCTCCCTGTGCTCGTGAGAGCCTTTGTGGAAGGGTACAGTCTAGAGATGTGATGGAGCTCAGTGATTTAAATATGTAACTGATTATTATGGATCATGATGAGCTTTCTATGGACGATTTTTAAATCACTTCCGTATGGCTATTAGGAGAAAGGAAGGTCAAGTATAGTAAGATTTCTGGGAGTGGGAGCCACAGAGAGGTGGGAGGAGGTGGCAGACATGAGGCAGGCCCCACAAAGCCAAGCGGCAGTGCTGCTCTGTGAATCCTTGATGCAAACGACATTGGAAAAGACCACACAAACAAACAAGTTAGAAAAGCCCTCTTCTCCAGAGCTGATTCCAACTCCCAAGAACCCTACAAGGACCCTATGGAGACTGGACTGTTGTTTAGGGGCTGTAGAGTCGCTCCACTCCACACAGATCCCATCTACAGAAGGAAACCCAGTCCTCTGCACGATCTCCGCTGTGCTTAAGCATGTTGCTGCAGTCACTGTCTCTGTCCACCTCTTTAAGGGTCTTCGTTTCTCCCCTGGACCCTCAACTTCTGCAAGCATGATGCCCTTTTCCTGGTACTGGCCGCTCCTGTTGACACGGACTAAGTCTGTGAGATGAAGTCTCACCATCGCCTTTTAGGGATCCTCTGGTTACACTTCTTCCAAGATTTGCTTGTTCATTTGATGGTCTGCAGGATATTCAATATTCTTGGTCAATATTACAATTCAAAGACATTCCAGAAAGATGTGTAAGAAACGAGTGTACAAAAGGTAAGCAAAACATGGTCTTTCCTGAGACGTGTGTTGTGCTTTGGGGTGTTTTTCTTTCTTCTTTCTTTTGGAGGGAATTGGGAGATCAGGATGAAGAATAAAAGTGAGTACAAGACTGACAGTCCGGGCACGCTCGGCAGCAGGACCCTCTGTGACAGAAGCTGGCCATGTGGAAGCTGGCACCAACTGACAGCCACCTGAATAGTGAGGCGCAGGAACAAAAGCCTCATTTCAGTCCAGGAGGAAAAACAACTGATCTGAAGTAAAAGAAAAAAGAAATTCCCTGTCTACCACAGATGACCCTTGCTGTTACAGGCCATCAACTGGACGACTCACAGAACCCTGCCCTATCCCGTGCCATCCTCACCAGCTCTGATATATTCTAGTCCGTTGTTACAGTCACTGTCAGTCTGTACATTTTTGAGGGTCTTTCTCCACCTTTTCTAGCATATTTTTTTCCAAGGACTTAGATCCTCCTAACAAGATGTCTAAAATATATGAGACGAAGTTATTATCCTTGCCTCCTGGTTGCACTTTCTTCAAAATGTATCTGTTTGTGCTTTTGGCAGTCCATGGGATTCCAAAACCACAACTTAAGGCTAATTATATATAACCTCTCTCCAAATCTTAATTTTCTGATTTTTTGGGGGGAATACTATATATCTTTTATTATTAATATAAGGAGTAGATTACAAATATGTCTGAAAACTATAAGGTGATGTTTGTGGTTTTTTTAAGAATTAAATATCTTTGTCCACTATATGGGATGGGGGTTGGGAGAACAGTTCAACTAGCTACCCTGGAATGGACTCTTGCTTATGTAAGTTTTCAAAGGCTGTGGTTTTTCGGAAGTAGTTAACCAAGACTTTGTTACAAATTACCACAGGGTAAATCCAAAAGGCTAGGGGCTTATTACCCAGTAAGCAAGAGTTTACTTGTGCTTACTAATCAGTAGCACACAGTTCATGACTGGGTAGGTGCTTACCAGGGACTCCATCCTCATCAGGGTTCGTCAATGTTAATAGAGGCTTTGATTCTGCAGGAAGATGTGGCAGGGTTGGGAAAGAGATATCAGCCACACCTAAAAGCAGAATCTTTGATGTATGGAGGGGAACAAAGTGATATTTTCACTACAGATGAGTTTAAAAAAAAATCCCTCGCAGACCTTGCTTATTGGGTAATCTGATACCGTTTAGTTAGCAGCCCCAATGGGGTTACTGCTGGGCCTTTGGGATGAATAAACCCGCCCCCGGGTGTTTCCTGATTCTCAAGTGGAGAAAGCGGGAGGGAGGCCGGACTCTGAAGCAGTAGTTCGCACCCAGCTGACATCACAGCGAGGCCCTGCACTGCAATCAGGAGGTTGTGATAAGCAGAAGGACATCAGAGCAACTCTGGGAAGCCAGTGCAAGCTGACCCTTGCCCCGGGTGACCTGTCACAGCGGGTGGACAGGAAAAGGTTCTCCATAGCCAAACACCATGGAGAGCAGGCTGCACCTCGTCCTGCTGGCAGGCCTCCTGCTACCTGGTGCAAGTGGTAAGCACCCCCTTTTGACCAACCGGCTGCCGAGGGCGCGGCTGCAGATGTGCCTCCCCACCCCCACCCCGGAGTTCCCACTGGATGCGCTGGAATCTCTCTGGGAGTATCGGGTGCCCCTTTTCCCCTGTCACAGGCTGTGTGAGAAAGCGGGGTGGCTTTCCCATATTCTCCAGCTGGGAGTACCGTTAGAAGCAGTCTTCATGCTGTGGGGAAGAGGGTCAGGCGGGCATTGCACAGGACACAAAGGCACAGATGAAAACAGAGATAAATTAAGGGATGAAGGTGTGAAGCAGGAGACAGAGGAAAGGAGAGGGAGAAAAAAGTTCCTCCTTCTGATGCCAAAACTAACCGAGGAGAACCCTCAGGCTGGAGGTGGGTGAGGGGGCATCACCAGCCTGTGGAGGCGCCTCCCGAGGGAAGTGACAGAGAGAGGGTGTGGGGACCCTACTATCAAAAAAGGAGTGGGGGGGGAGCCACAGAGACAGGAGAAAGGAGGCGCCTCTGGGACTTGTTTGCATGTTAGATAAAGTGAAAGGGAAAGAACACCTGAGATGCAAACAACCAACAGCAACCTTGTGGAAGAAAACGGAAATATTTGTGAAGGACAATGGTAAAAAGTAAGGAAGGGAAGGGGGGAAACAAAAGAGTAAAGAAAGGGCCAATAGGCGAACTCTAAAAATGGGGTTCTACGGGACAAAGATGACCCTACAAAAAAGGCACGACACCTCTCTCCTGGTGTGTCTGTTTTGGCATTTCCCCCACAGGAAGCCTTCCTTCCAGTAAAATCCAAGTGCCTTTCCTGGCACTCATACCATGATCTCACTTAGTCTTCTCAACTATGTGTGTCACTTCTCCCCTTCCAGCCTCTGTCCCACCCATCCATTCTCCCCACTGAAGCTGCTCCTGCCTCTGAAGTAACACAGGACTTGTCTTCCATTAAGGCGTGCCCTCCCCAGCTCCATAGGCTCCTTCAAACCAACCTCCTCCTCTTCATCTGCACCCATATGACAAGCGGCACCCTCTCCACTTTATGTGGATTCTTCATCCTGGTGTGCTCATGACAGGACATGACTGACAGATGATTTCTTGAGTGCAGATCTTAACTCTGGGAGAAAGTTGCCAGTCCCTGGACATCAGGGACCAGGTCACTCACTTTCTCCATTCAGAGACCATGACAGCTGTGTTGTTAACATGAATGTAACTGGATGCAGTTACATTTCCCTGTATGTTCCTAATTCTGCCCAACTAATGATTTTCCCTTCTCAAGCTTTTAGTGTTTTGACAAAATATTTGATGGTCACAAGATTGTCCTTATTGTGGTGTTAGCCATTCTGTCAGATGTCCAAGCAGCTAAATTTTGAGCCTGATCCTAAAGGCCAGACCAATTGTCCAGTCCTTCATTCATTCAACAAATATTTATTAAGCATAGACAGTGAGGTTGCCACAGGATAGAGCAGGATTTAGGCTCTTGATAGGATCACTGAGTCACAAGTGACTCGACGGCACATAACAGTAACAAACAACACAGGGTCTCTGAGTGACATTAGAGAAGGGTACTGAATATTCCACGGACTGCCAACTAGCGTGCTCTTTACAGGCAAGGACAGTAAAACTTTGTCTTACTTTGGGCAGAATGTCAAATGTCAGGAGGAACCAGTCCTAGGAAAAGTCATCATGCTGGGAAATTAAAGGATCAGAGAAAGAGAGGAAGACCCCCAACAAAGGTGGATGGATAAAGCTCTAAAACAAAGGGTTAGAACCAGGGGAGTTCTGGTGGCCTAGTGGCAAGAAGCTGCCCTGCAATCCCAGAGGTACATGGTTCAAATCTACCAGATGAGCTGCAATCTCCTCCTGTACCAGTCAGATCCAATTTGGAAGAAAGGGTTCAAGCATATGGGAGATAGTGCAAAATAAGGCAAGGTTCAAGTTTGTTGTTCACAGGGTGGCAGCTTGAAGACACCTAACAACAAGAAGTCAGAAACAACTGGAGAGGAATGCATTTTTATGGGTGGGTGTTTGCTTTGTTTTTAATGTATCCCCGGGTACTGGAGATACAAAAGTAAACTAATCCCATTTTGTCACAGTTTATATTCCACTTGAGACCAAAAGGCGATAAATATGTCAATGCATAATGTCAGCGTGATAAATGCTATGAAGAAAAAGTAGGCAGGGTAAATAGAAAGATGTGCATGGAAGGCAACATAAGGTATTTCGGAAGAGCCTTTTGAGGAATATTTATGGCATGAGCTATGGGTGTGTCTGGAAGAACATGTTCTAGCTGGGGAAGAAAAACCTTCTAAATAGAAGGCCTGGGGGTGAGTTACTGCCTAGGGGTGAGCTGCTGCCTAGGGGTGAATTACTGCTGCTGTTGTTAGGTGCCACCAGGTTCACTAAGCCTCACAGTGATCTAACCCATGGCAGATCTGAACCTTGCCCTATTCTGCACCATCTCACTATCTCTAGCATGCTCGAACCCATTACCACAGTCATTGTGTCAATCCATTTTCTCCTCTTTCTTTGATCCTCCCACTTTCCCAGCATGATGTCATTGTACAAGGACTGAACCCCTCTGACCACATGCCCAAAGGATAAGAGATGAAGTTTGATCACTTTGCCTCTAAGGAGCACCCTGGTTTCATTTGCTCCAAAGTGTTTGATATATTTAAGGAACAAAGAAAGTGCTGAGGGAGAGAGGTGAGTAAAGCTGGAAGTGGAAGGCAGAGAGGTCAGAGACACAACTAGAACCACAGCAGGGATGCCTTGATGAAGACCTCAGGTCTTATTCTCAGGCAGTGGAAAGTCATGGCACCCAGCACAGTTCAAAGGTTTAAAAAGAGAAATGACATTTCAGTTGTTAGCTTCCTTAACACTACCCTTCCCCCAGTATTCCATGTCTATCACCCTCCCTACTTTTCCTGCAAGACAGTTCAAGCTTAGAGGTACTTCAGTACTTAGAGAAATTGGGAAGGGATAAGAACAGGCTTTATGAAAGAGAAGGTAAAAGATGGGATTTGGATGGAAAACATAGAGGAGGTGAGAATTTAGGTTTTGCAAAATCATGAAAGGAAGCTCAGGGACAGGAATGCCTACTGGAACAGGGATGTGGCCTGGCATAAGGAACAATGAGTCCTTTTAAGGAATTAGAGGAAGAAAAGAGGGCTTGGCCAGGCGAAGTGCTAGTGCCCAGACCTGACTGATGGTAACTGTCCCCTTGAGGCAGTTCATGAAAAAGCACTGTGGTTCTAGGGAACAGATAATCTGACAGAGAGGATGCAGGCCATCCAGAAGGGATGTGGGATTCAGACAAGGGTTCTCAAACGTATGTGCCTTGGGTTATCCAGGAAGTGTGTTAAAATATTGATTTATAGGCCCCACCCACCCTGATAGGAAAGGGGACTATGAACCACAATTTTAGAAATTCTATTTTAGAAACTGTTCAGATGCAAGTGTGAGGTTGCTAATTCCAATTTGAGAGTCAGGAAGAGGGGAATGGCTATGTGACTGTAAGCAGGATAAATGTGAACTATATTTCAAAGCAAGAGTTTCCAAGATCTATTTTTTAAAAGAAACAAAGCCAATTCATTGCTATGAAGTCAGAACTAGCTCATAGCTGACCCTCCGGCAGGTAACTGAGGGTGTTAATTGCATGGGAGGAGAATACTTTTCTTAGTTCTGGAAAGCCACTGGTGGATTTGAACTACCAGGCAGGTGTTTGGGGTTAGCAACAAAATGCCTCATGGACTATGCCACCAGTGCTCCCTAAGGCTTAATTACTCAACAACAAAGACAAGGTAAGCCTTGAAATACCCCACAACATCGATGGACCTTGTTCATCATGCCCAGTGAAAGAAGTCAGTCACAAAAGGACAGACACTGTATAATCACAATTGTATGGAACATACAAAGGTTATTGTGGTGACCAGGGATTGTAGGACAGAGAAAGGAAGAGTTTTACTTACAGAGTAGACATTGCGTTATATAAATGGTGGTAAACTATTTGAAAGGATAGTGAGAATGGATGCACAATTTGAAGAATGCAATCAATGATGAGAAATTGTACAAAGAAATTGTTAAAATGGTGAATATGTTACTGTGTCTATTTTCACCAAAATAAGAGAAAATGTTTACAAGGCAAGATTTTGTAATGAATTTGAAGAGCAATAGGAAGAGAGCAACAAATACAAGTTAGAGCTTTGTGTTGATAGGAAAATGTAGGTGTCACTGAAAGAGATGGAAAGGAATTTGAAGAAACAAGGAAGCTATCTTTTGGAACGTCTTTGTTTTTGTTGATTGTGGTCAAGTCAAGCATGACTCATTGTGACTCTATGAACAAAAGACCTAATACCTTTCCATAACTATCATTTCTCCAAATTCATAGAGTTTCCAGAGGCACGTGGTTTAGGAAGTGGATGGCACTCCTGCTTCCAAACCTGTTTTACAACTGAGAGTTCCACCAAACCCTGTCCACATTGGGAAACCATTGTGGTATTTGATATCCCAATGGCACAAAGTTCAGCATCACAACAACCCAGGTTACTTCATACTGCACATTGACAAAGACTGATGTGCAAAATGGAAGAATGTCCCTCCAGATATAACAACTCTAGTCTCACTTAGTAGTGGTTAAGAATCATCAAGTTGAATATGACTCATAGTGACCCTTGTGTAAAAGACCTAAACTCTGTTCTATAACATCATTTCTAGAGTACATTTATAGAGTTTCCAAAAGTATCTAGTTTAGGAAGTGGATGCACACCTGTTTCCCAACCTGAATCAATCTGGAAGCTTCTCCAAACACTGTCCATGATGGGTAACCATGATGACACAACTATGGCACAGTGTTCAGCATCACAGCAACTCCAAGTTATTCAGTACAGCAAATAGACAAATAGTTGCTGTATCACTTAAAGGATATTCATTCTAAAATTAATAAATTTTCCTAGTCTGGAGGCTCCAGCTGGCCACAGACCCAACCCCTCACTATGGAATTTTAAAGACATACCCTTAAGCAAGTCTCCACCCTTGGTCAAAAGTTCAATTGACACCCACTTTTGGGGGGGGAACAGTAACACACATCAAACATGACCCAAAAACTTCCCTTATGTGACCTCCATCAAGATGCTAGAAGCCAACTCCTAATGTGGAGGATCTGGCTGCATAAAACTTAATCATTGAGTTTTATACACTTAAGGGGAAAAGGTACTTTGAGAAGTAGGATATTATCATTCTCATTTACCAGTAGTAAGTAGCGTGTAACTTCAAAACCCAAGACTGTTTCAGTCTGAAGTCCTACAGCTTTAGTTTGAAGTTTGGAGTTTTGAGATGAAGGGAGATGGCAGCCATTATAGTGAGTCCCTTGAAGATATGGGGCTTGGATGAAAGTCAATACCAGAAATCTCATCTTGAAAGTCCTCTTTCATCATGTTGAAACTGCAAAAATGGGTAGGAAGAAAAGAGCAAAGGGCCAGGAAAAGAAACCTGAGGGCTTTCTATATTCATAATGAAGGCAGGAAGTCAAGATATGTCAAGATATGTCAAGTCAAGATATGACTCTGGGGCCCTATGTACAACAGATCTGGACCCTGCTTCATCCTGTGCCATCCTCATTACCTCTGTCACACTTGAATCTACTGCTGCAGTCCTGTGTCAATCAATGGTGAGGGTCTTCCTCTCTTTCACTGACTCTCCACCTTCCAAAGCATAATGATTCTCTCCAAAGAATAGCCTCTCCTAGCAACAAGTCCAAAGGATGTGGAACGACGTTTTATCATCTTTGCTTCCAAGCACCACTCTGGCTCTACCTTCTAAGAAAAGTCCAAGACAGTTGTCATATAATTTTAACTCATGGAGGTGTCATGAGGGGAGATAATTTCCTTCCCAGTTGTGTTTTTTTTTTAAAAATTTCTTTATTTTTCATTTCAATGAACATCTACAGAGATTTTGGAATTCCATTCATTCATTGTTGCACCCCTCTCCCCGCCTCCCCCCCATTTGCTCCTCTCTTTCAAATGCAAAAGAAAAACTCCCTCATTAGTACGCAATCCCCCACACACATCCCCCAGCCCCAAATATAATCCACTCTGCAACCCTCATTCCGTACTCTTACGATAAACATAATGCCCTAAAATATAAAATATTCTCTCCCCCAAAGACTTCAATGCCGTAAACATATTTCATCCAGTTTTTCTCAGTCTTAACCCCATCCCGATGTCAGCCTCACTCTACAACAGTGGCACCATATAGCATTTGTCCCTTTGTGACTGAGATACCTCACTCAGCTTTTTGTGTTTTGTTTTGTTTTGTTTAACCAGTGAGGAAATAGTTTTACCCTTTTGCAGCATGCGTGCAGACAGTCCTGTTTCTGGCAAAAGTAGTAGGTAACCAAATAAAGCTGCTTAAACTTGTGTCATCTCACTGTCTTCCAGTTTTCATTAATCAGGAATTGGCCAACAATGTCCTGCAAAGAGTCAGGAGAGCAAATTCATTTTTTGAAGAGATGAAGAAAGGAAACCTTGAAAGAGAGTGTGTGGAAGAATCTTGCGAATACGAAGAGGCCCGAGAAGTCTTCGAAGATGACGACCAAACGGTAAGAGTTAGGGAGATCAGAATCTCCTTTCCACACAAAACTGGGGTGAATTGATGATGAGCAGCCCTTGGTCCCTCACCAGTCCTCATCTAATTAATTGAGTATATCTACTCTAAAATGGCAATATTCTGTTCAAGGCTCCTAGGTTAAGTGCCCATTCTATTTTGTGGTCCTTTTGAGGGGGAAAAAAACCATAAAACTGTGAAGTATTTTTTCTAGAGTGGAAAGTTGGTGAAAGATATTTGAGGAATAAGAACTACCTCATTATTATTAGTTCTTTCACTATGTGCAAAGACATTGATTACTGCATCCTCACAAAGCTGAGAAGATAAATCAAGTTGGAAGGTTTATAAGAACTTTTAAAAGCATTTTAAAATTCATTTAACCACATAGGATGAAATGTTACATTTAAAAAATATTCATAATTTCGTACATTATTTTCTTTTATTTAAGACTTCAGTGAAAGTTTCTAAAGAACTTGGACTTACATTCATTTATTGTTGTACATTTTCTTCCCTGTCCCCCATCCCTCCCCCCACCCCCAGTTCGCTTTCTTCTTTGAAAAACAAAGTTATTTCATTATTATATAGTCCCCTCTCCTCCAGACCACTTTACCATGCAACTCTTATTCTGGACTCTTGTCATGTCAATAATACCTAATCATATGTTCCTTTTATGCAGTTCATTCCCTCATCAATACTGTGTACATTGTTTATTCCCTCTTTTCTTAGTTTCCCCTCAACCCCCATATCAGTCCTGTTCTATAACAGTGGCATTATACAGTATTTGCCTTTTTGTGATTGAGATATTTCACTCAGTATTTTTCAGTGGTGCATAGTATTCCCTTGTGTGAATATGCTACAGCTTCTCTGTCCATTAGTTTTTTGATGGGCACTTGGGCTGTGTCCAATTCTTTGCTATTGTGAGCAAAGCAGCAATAAACATGGGTGTGCATATATCTGCTTGGGTGGCAGTTCTGGTTTCTTTGGGGTATATTCCCACTAGTGGAATTGCTGGGTCAAATGGTATTTCTCTTTCCAAGTTTTTGAGAAAGCGTGATACTGCCTTCCATAGTGGTGTCACCATTTTACACTCCCTCTAACAGTGAATAAGAGGTCCCGTCTCTCCACAACCTCACCAACATTTGTTGCTTGCTGCTCTGTTAAATTTTGCTAATCTTACTGGGGTGAGATGGTATCTCATAGTATTTTTATTATTTTAATTTTAATGCATATGTTGTTGTTTTTACATGCCATCCAGTCACTTGCGACTCATAGCAACCTTAGCTACTGAACCCTGCCCTATCCTGAGCCAATCTCTTCATCTCTGACAGAGCTAATTCCATTTCTCCCATTCTGAGTCAATCTGTCTCATCCTGGGTCTTCCTCTCCCTCCTTTCTTCCAAGTATGATGTCCTTCTCCAAGGACTGGTCCCTCCTGGCCACATACCCAAAGTATGTGGGATGGAGCTTCAAAATCCTTGTCTCCAGGGAGCTGCTTGGTTTCACACTCTCAAGGATGGACCTGTTTGTTCTCCTGGCAGTCCATGGCATATTCAACACTCTTCTCTAGCACCACAACTCAAAGGCATCATCTTCTTCTATCATCCTTTGTCATCATCCTGCACTCTGGTGCATAACAAGTAATTAATTGCAAACACCATGGCCTGGATCTGGCACACCATAGTCTCTAGACTGACATTGTTGCTCTTCAGTACTCTAGAGAGGTCCCTGACAGCAGAATTTTCCAATGAAATATCTCTTTTGATTTCCTAACTGCTGTCACCAAGAGAGGTGATTGTGGAATCAAGCAAGCCGAAGTTATCAACAATCTTAATCACTTATCTGTCCATCATGAAGCTGCTAAATGGCCCAGTGGTGAGAATTTTTGTTTTCTTGATGTTGAAATTCAATTCATATTGAAGAATACAGTCCTTGACATTCTGCAGCAAATGCCTCATGTTCTTTTCCGTTTCAACAAGCAAGGTTGTAATCATTTGCATAGCACAGGTTGTTGATGAATCTTCCTCCAATCCTGATGCCACATTCCTCCTCATAAAGTCCAGCCTCCCAAATGATCTAGTCTGCATATAGACTGAAAAGGTATGAAGATAGAATTCATCCCTAATACACACCTTTCCTGATCCTGAACCATGCTCTATGTTTCACTGCTCTGTTCTGACTACTTTTTCCTGGTCCAAGTGTAGGTTTCTCATGAGCACAATTAACTGTCCTAAGATCTCTATTCTTCTCAAAGTTAGCCACAATTTGCTGTGATCCACACGGACAAATGCCTTTGTGTAGTCAATGAAACACAGATAGACATTCCTCTGATACTCCCTGCTTTCAGCCAAGATCATTCTAACAGTGATTTTGATGTCCCTACTGCTCTAGCCTCTTCTAAACCCAGCCTGCACATCTGACAGTTTTCTGCTGTGTGCTGTTCTGGTCATCGCTGCATAATCTTCAGCAGGATCTTCCTTGCATGTGATATTAGTGATATCAATTGATAATTTCCACATTCTGTTGGATCACCTTATTTTGAAATTAGAATAAATACAGATCTCTTCCAATCAGTTGGCCAGGTAGTTGTCCTCCAGATTTCTTGTCATGACCTGGTGAGGGCTTCCAGGGCAGCATCTGTTTGCTAAAATATGTCAATTGGTATGCCATCAATTCCTGGGGCCTTGTTTTTTGCCAATTCATTCAGAGTAGCTTCAACTTCCTCCATCATCATAGAATCTTGATCATATGTTGTTTCATGAAATTCTTCTTTGTCAGCCAGTTCTTATTGGTGTATTGATTCTTTGTACTCCTTCCATCTTTTTTTTTCCTTTCTTCTTCTTGTCTACCGTAGAATCAGATCCAACTGGCCCAGGAGGAGATTGTTCCTCCTTCTCCAGCAGAGCACCTGGTGAATTAGAACAGTGCTCCTTTGGGATTGCAGCACAGCTTCTTGCCACTAGGCCAGAAGAACTCCCTTCCTTCCATCTTCTTTTGATACTTTCTGGGTCATTCAACATTCTTCCTTCAGCAATAAGAATTGTAATGCATAAAAAAAAAGAATTGTGATGCATGTCCAATTACACTTTCTACTTTTTCTTTCTGGAGAACAACCACTTGGCCAACTGACTGGAAGAGATCTATATTTGTTCCCATTCCAAAGAAAGGTGACCCAACTGAGTGTGGAAACTACA